ACATTTGTTTCTATTACCTCTTATGTTTCATAAGTGTATTAGTCTGTTCAGCAACAGAATCCTGGCGCCATCATTATTAAAACAAAATATGGAATCTTAAACTCTCAGATTCCTCACCTCTCTAATCTAAGTCCCTCAACTCTTAGATATAAGTCCCAAAGAAAACTTATTTCACCTCTGATTCTAAGTCCCATATAAAACTACTCACAATATCCTTTCAAATATAATAGGATCGATTTATTTACACTTAAAAATGGAGTAGCTTCATGAATATCTCTTCTAAGAAAACTAAATCTACATCATTTCCAATGATTGAAAATTTCCTTAAGGCTTCCTGTTATGGGTTTTTAGTAAGTGTTGGGCGAAGAATCCAAAATATAATAAAGAAAAATGAATGACAAATTGGATAACAAAAGCTATTATTTATAGGCAGATTGTTTATGTCTATGCTAGTCATTGCACTCAGCATTTTTAATGGATTAAGTTTACAAGTGAGTCTGTATTTTTTTTTTTAGTATTTCATTTGATGATTTGATGACATAAGGTTATAGAAGAAGAAATTCAGTCATATATTTTATTTCTGCCACTTCTTGTGGAAATCAATCATGTTCTTTATTGATTCCTTTTTCAAATGTGTTGGAAGAATTTGCCATCTTAAGGAGATCATATGACTTGGAAGGCAGGTGTCATAACTTGAACTTGCTTTTTTCAGCCCTGAGAGAAACTCATTCTAGTTTTATGCATGGACTAAATACTTAAATACAGATGTTTTCAAATGTTCTACAAGTCACTATTTAAGATATGTTTTTAAAAAAAATAGAGTGAGGATTAAGGGTCAAAAGCAAAAACATGTGAGCCTTGATTTAATGACCTGTATATTTATTTTCCTAGAATGCTTAATTTTTCATTATTAAACTTTCAGCTTTTTCTAGCACAGCATAGATGTTGACAGAAGCTATGTTTCTCCTCTGTAGATAAGTCAACCTGTAAACAAAACCTGAACAATAACAACAACATATATATAACTTTGGAATGTTTTTAAAAATGTGTCATTGGAAAACTCAGGCTGCTTAGATTTCATCTTAACTATATCTATGCATGATGCAGATATCTCAAGGTCACTTCAGCACTTTAACCTTTACAACAGGAGTCACTTCATGGTTAGTGTAGGCTGACATTTTTCATTGCAATTTGATTTGTTTACATTCTTATCATTCCCCCTTTTTAATGAAGCCAAGAGCCTACATTTTTTTATCTTTTTGTTTTAATGTTGTGCTTTCCGACTTTAACTATAGTCTAATGTCATTAGATATTCATCAAGAATGGAATCAAATATGTTCAGTAAATATCTCTGAATTTATGATAGTTCTGATGTTATTTCTCCCCCCTTTCATATTCTACTTGTTAATGTTTCTCCATTCTCTCAGTGAATCTAGCTAGACATTTGTCTATTTTTCAAAGAAACAAACTGTCCTTTTTTACTTATATTTCACTGATACTCTTTTTTTTTTAATAGTCTTCCACTGATTTTTGGTTTTGTTATTTCTTTTTTTTTTTTTTCACATCTCTTAAAATGTAAGACTACTTATTTGAGCTCTTTTTGGTTTCTTGATGTAGGCTTTATTACACTGTGCTTTGCTCTTAATACTGCTGTTGCTGTATATCAAAGGTTTTGGTAGCTCATGCTTTCATTTATATCATTTTTTTAAATTTTTTTTTATTAATTAATTTATTTGTGCATACAGAACTGGGGTACAGGTACAGGCCAGAGGCTCAGGGGCGGTGAGAGGCTTCACCAGAGACAGAGTGGGGAGCAGAACAGGCAGATCTACGAAGTACACTGCTGAGGGAAGCAGTGGGCGGGTCAGGAGAGGTCTGCCATGTGGTCACCTCCGAGGCAGGCGGGAATCGAACCCATGCGGAAGTGGCTTCAGATTCTCAGTGCTGTGCTTTAACCCGCTGCGCCACCAAGGAGGGCCTTTAAAAGATTTTTTAAAATTCTTTATTAAGGTAATAGGTATTCAGTATTACATTGTTCAAAAATCTATGTATTGAAAGTTTCCTCCTCTTTTTTTTTTTTTTCTTTTTGTGGTTGATTTCTAGTCTGATACTGTTGTGACTAGAGAAGATATTTGATATGATTTCAGTCTTCAGGAATTTAATTTTATTTGTTTTGTGACCCAAAATTTATCTAGAATAACACACATGCACTTGAGAAGAATGTGTACTCAGCTTTTTGTGGGGTTGTATTGCCCTATAAGTGTTTATTAATTAAACCAGGTGGCTTAATTTCTCATTTAAGTCTTGTTTCCTTGACGTTTTTCTGTCTGGTTGATCTGTCCATCAGTGAGAGTAGGGTATTGAAGTCCATCGCAACGACAGTGCTGTTTCCAGTATCTGTCTTTAGAATGGTTAATTTGTCTTACTTCATTTTATTTACATTGGTGCATATATTGGTATATTGCTGAAAGTTAAATCTTGACGTTTTATATCTGTAATCATCATATAATGTCCATCTGTTTATCTACCCTTTTTAGCAAGAAGTCTATTTTATCTGACTTATAGCTAGTGGAATGTGTTTTTACCTATCTTTTTCAGGTTCCCATGTACTTGTCAGATTGTTTCACAGCAGTTTACTTTGAGCCTATGCTTATCTTTGGAGCTCAGATGGAATTGATTATTTATCAAGTTTGATGTTTTTAAATTTTGAAAAATCAAGGATAGAACAATGGCACAGGATTGGTAGTTACTGTGTTGGAGCTGAACTGGTGATGTTATAAGTGAAATATGTCCAGTGATATTGTAAACAGTCTGAAAAAGGTAACGTTATTAATGGATCTCTTAGTTGTTAATTTCACTTGTCACAGTAGGGTTTCAGTTAAGTACAAGCAAGCACAAATAATGGAATACATATGGAATCATCTTTATTTGCCCTTGTCTTATATGTTTGAATTTAAAGATGTTCATTGAGTAGATCAGGGTGAATTTACTATAACTCTTAAGAAGCTAATTATCCTATCCTATCCTCTATAGATTGGATCCTCATTCCCGAACCTGCTTTCCCATTTTCTTCTTAGAAAACTAGTAACATTCTCTTATCTATAACATAGGGAAAAATGACATACTAATGTTTTACCAGGTGAAATTTATTATTGTAGGAGTATTTGCACACTTCGTCCTTCTCTTGTCACCACCACACCCCCATAAGATTTTCGCACCTGTTTGTATTGAGCCTGTTCAGAATAATGAGTGGAGAATATATCCCTAAAAGGGAGCTAGGGAAAGACTAGTGATTGTTTGGAAGAGTAAGAGGAACTTTCACATTAGCTATAAATTTAGGAGAAAGAGATGAATATAGTAAAGGACATAAGGACATCTGTGAAGTTTATGGAAAACATTCCCATAAAGATCTACATAGGTTCTTCATATATTCTTGTCTACCAAGACGTTGTGTTTTTGAGATACAGCATAGATTGGTATTGAAGAAAGCCTATTATATATTAGTTATATAATCTAGTCAAACAAGGTGCCTTCTAGTTCATTATGTCTTACCACATTCCTTTTATAAATTCCTCCACATTCTCCTACATTCCTCTCCCATTTTTCCACAAATCTTTGCATCACACCCCACTCTTCAGTGACTTGAAGTATTATAAACCTTACAAAATATAAGGGAAAGTGAAACCTATTCCCAGTCAGAACAAATTCTTAGTTCCAGAATAACTCACTATACAGCTTTCTTGTTCCAGTGGTTGGCCCAGAATAGGGCTCCTAATTCATGACAGTGAAGTTGTTGACACAAACTTTTTCTAGTTTGTCTTAATGACCTGTAGGAGTTTTTATTAATATTAGAAATGAGTGGAATGATTAGTTTTTGTTTAATGAAACCATTTTAATTTTCTAAGCATTGTTAAATCTTATCTCCAGCATTGTGCTTAACACACTATAACCTTACATTCTCTCAAATGAATCTGCTTGACTATGAAGAGTAAAGGCAACGTGTTGTATCTTAGTGCATAGTGCAGCACCTGGTACAGTTAGTGAGCTGTACAGAAGTTGAGTGAATAAGTGAATGGATTGTATTTTCAATGGGAGTCATAGTCATAAAGAAGACTGAGTGACAAATTTACATTTGTTTCCTTTAAAAAGAAAAGACTGCCAAAACCTAAGTAGCATAGGAATTAGAGTCAGAACTCCTGAATTCAAAATCTAGCCAAGCCATTTGTCATCTGATTTCTTTGACTAGTTCACTTAGACTCTTTCAACCATTTTCTTCAAATACAGATAAAGATGATCTAGTGAAAATATAATTCTGAAATATTTAATATCATTTTATGAAGAATCTGATTAAAGTCTACTCAATCAATCTGGATTAATAAATTATTGACCAATGATAGAAACAAGAGGCTCTCCAAAAAAGGGCCATTGTCAAAAGTGATGTCCTCCCAACTCCCAGATTACTTAACACTGGGAAAGGCCAGTGAAAGACTGTGAAATTTCACTTATTATGAAGATATTTTCTTACTCTTAAATAATAGGAAAAGACTGAATGACCTTTGCGGAGACTCACCCACCATATAGTCTATGACTCAGGAAAGAAGACATAGTTTTGTGCATAAATCAGAAGAATCTGACTTTCCTCTGTGCCAAAAATAAAGCATAAGTTTAGAAATGTCAAGTCTGTAGCTCTTTATGTCTTTGGTCAATTCAAGGAACACCCTCATCCCTTACTCTTTTCAAATGAATCACATCCTGTATGCAATGTGAATATATTAAGGAGCAGTAGAGAGATGGAGTTTTAATTTTTACCAATTCAATTTAAATGCAAATGTTAAACACTCACATGATGCCACTGTGTACATAATTAAGCATCATTATATACTACATGAATCATTCAGAAACCTCCCAAGAGCCAGTCTACTATGTAAAACATGCATTATAATGACAAGCAGTAGGTGACATATACTTCTGTCCTCATTAATGCTCCTTTTGAATTATAGGTCAACTGATTATGGGACAACCTATGAGAAACTGAATGATAAAGTTGGATTGAAAACTATTTTGAGCTATCTCTACGTCTGTCCTACCAACAAGCGTAAGGTAAGAAATGTATATTTGGCTCCTTCTTCATGAATGTGACTTCTGTCTGGTTGGCTCACCCCTCTTGTCACCTAAAAATTCATTACCATTATGCTGGGATTGGAGATGTGAAGACAAGTTGATGGATGTTAAGGTGTTGAAATGTGTGGCACGTGGTGATTTGCAGATCTGCAGCTGTGGGCATAGGAGGGCGAGGAGTAAGTATAGCATATGTTTCCGAAAGGCAGCTACAGTCTTACTGAGTGGATGCAGCTGACTCTTGTAAGAACTCTGTCCAGTAAGTCACAGAAATCAAAATGAGCCTTGACAAGACAGAGAAAAAGAGGGTCTTTTCATCTGATGTTCCCTGCTTTCCCTCTGCATGGAGTAAGTAGTCTAGGGTTTAAGAGAATGTTTGTCCTGCAGTAGGTTGGGAGTTTCATTTCTGAGTTTGTTCAGCCTTCGTGTGTCAGGTTGGAGCCATTTCTGGAAGGAACCTTAGACATGATCCTACACCATCTAAGAAAGGGAATGACTCACCTTCATCACAGAGCGCAAGTCACAATTGGGACTATAATTCAGGTTGCTTTCTTGGCCATCATACTATTTTCACTACATTATACCACTCCTATTGTTATCTCTGCTTTGGAAATGTTTTTTTCTCAGGAAGAAAACTATTTACTTTTATCTATCTATCTATCTATCTGTCTATCTGTCTGTCTATTAGCGCATACAGAATTGGGGTACAGACCAGAGGTGCAGGGGCGGTGACAGGCTTCACCAGAGACAGAGTGGGGAACAGACTGATGGAGTACACTGCTGAGGGGCGCAGCAGGTGAGACAGGAGGGGTCTGCTACACCATGTGGACCACCTCCAGGACCGGGATCGAACTCAACACCTCAGGGACTGCAGCAGCTTTGCAGTGCTGCACTTCAACCTGTTGCGCCACCAGGGAGGGCCATAAAAAAAAATGCTTCTAAATATGGAATATGGAAAACCTTTTGTTTCAGAAAGAGAGTGATACTAGATTAATTGTTTGATTTTTTTTATAATCTTGAATTATCAAAATTTGAATTTGATATCTACTTTTTAAGTATTATATTGGTCCCATGAAACAGTATACTATGTACCAGAAAATAGAGAAGCGCTGTTCACTGATATGCACTAAACTGTATTCTGCCCCTCTGGTGACTATGGTATCTAGACAATCCTTTTATCTGTGAGTAGTTAATATCAGTGACCTCAGGAAGCTCAGCAGTTTGTTATCTGGAATGGGCATGTTGGATGCAACTCTCATCTCTAGCCGCACATCCCAAGCACTAGATGGTCCCTTAATATGCAAGCCCTGGTTTACCCCTGTTGCAGTGGTTTAGGGTCATGGAACTGTATCTTGAAACATCTCCTCAGATGCTTCTGTTATGTATCTTGGGTTAAAAACCACTCACAGAGAGCGTAATGTTTCCTGTGGTTGTAAACATTTCAAATTCTTTAGCAGAAACAGCATCATGTAGTAATTCTGCCTAGATTTTGGATTCAGATAATTTGAGGAAAAAACCATCTAAACTAAATAACTAGTGCATAACTGTAATGGTTTATTTAATCTTTCTTAGCACAGTGTTACCAAATTAAAAGTGGTGGTAATTATAGTAAAATAATATACCTCAAGAGGAAAGTTGTAAGAATTCTTTGCAATAAGACATTTCATATGTTTAATACAGAATAGTTAACTCTTACTAAATGTTTTCTTTTCTCTTTTTCTCCTTTCTTCATCTCCCTCTTTCTTCTCTTTCGTATAATTATTGGAAGGAATTGAGATAGTAGCAGTTATTCTCTATAAATACTGGTGTTTAATACAACTTTCTGCAATGATAGAAATGTTATCCAATACTACGTAGCTGGCTACTGTGACTATTGAATAATAAAATATGGCTGTTGGAATAGAGAAACTGGATTTTTAAATTTATTTTAATTATAATTAATTTAAATTTAAATAGCGACACATACCTGATGACCACAATAGTGGAGAGAATTAGATAATCTTGTCAACTTCATCAATTTAGATCTATATCATGAACTTTCCTTTTTATCCCCTTACTGGTGATTATTGGTCCATCATAAACAATTACATCAAAACAATATCAGTCTAGTATAAACAACCCTAAATGGAGGGACTGAACTTATAGCTTTTGTTTTTATTGTATGATTTAGTTATGTTTATAGTTTTGAATTGATTCATATACCTATTAATTTTACTCTGGTTCACAATTTTAGTAACTTTCATTTAACTATCAACAACTACACTAGGAAATGCACTGTGCCTCATAGGACCAAGACATAAAGCCAGCTTTCCACCCTCAAAGGTTCTATGTTGCAACAGTAAATGTAAAAAAATGTCTTCTATGGGCCCTCTCTGGTGGCACAGTGGGTTAAAGCCCTGCACTAAGAAGCTCAAGACACTTCCACATGAGTTCGATCCCCACCTGCCCTGGAGGAGATCCACATGGCAGGCAGACCTCTCCTGACCCGCCCACTGCTCCCTTCAGCAGTGTACTTCATAGATCTGCCTGTTCTGCTCCCCACTCTGTCTCTGGTGAAGTCTCTCGCCCTCCGCATCTCTGGCCTGTACCACAGTTCTGTATGAATAAATAAATAACTTAAAAAAAATAATAATGTCTTGTACTAAAAGTTTCTTTGACACCCTTTCCATTTGGAAGGTGACTTTGGGTGAGTCATTTGCATCTTCTTATTTGTAAATTGATTTAGGCAAAAACAAAGGGATTTACTGCCAGAGGAGATTTTAGGATTGTTCTAATTAGTGATAGAGTCTCTGTTTTGATGCCTTTAGAGGGGAATAATAGAAAGAAAAAAAGCTGCCGATGTTGGATGCTGAATGTGATTATAAGTTTTTCTATAGTTGCAGAGTTTGTGGAAGTTGTTTGGAAACTGCAAGAATGTTTGTAGGAGCAGAACTTGAAACACCATTCTCTCGTATGCATGTGTAGCTTCTAAGACTGGAAAGAAAGCTTATAGGGAACACAGCAAGGTCCCTGCCACTGAACCCACTCATGTCAATACACTGCTATCTATCATTCTACGTTCTTATTTGCAGCTATCTGGAGGATGTTAGAAAGAACATTTGGCCATGGCATTCAGGTGAAATTAAGACTTGGCACACCCTATTTCCAGAGAAAGGAAAGTCATTGCCCATGACTAAGAGAAAACAGCTTCTCTTTCAGAAGCAGAGGTGGGTCTGAGCTGTTTAAATCATAATGTTTATGGGTGAGCCTACGAGAAGGAATCTTTTCCTTTACAGATAAATGGGGCCTTCAGGGTCACTTTCTGAGATGCTGATAGATTTAAGAAATATTGGAGGACAACGAAGGTCTTTACAATGGTGCAAAAATCAATAAAGTTGACATAGCAGTATATTTGTGTACAGTTTTTCTACTTATGAGGTGAATTTATCACCATGAAATATGTACACCCCTCCCAAAGGGCATACTTGAACCAAAGAGATAGTACCTGCACAACGTTTGAAAGTATGAATTATTCCTCACCTTCAATGAGAGTTTATGTTAAAAGGGATAAAAAGGATGAAGAAATATCAAACTTATTAATTATGCAGGTAAAGACACTCAAATTTGCTCTGATTCTCCTAGGAATTCTATGTCCTCCAGTGAGAAGGCAGGCTCCCTTAAAAGGCTGTGTTAATTCTTTTAGATCTCTGGGGTGCTACCTAGCAGTTAGCATCTTTTAAACCAGAAACTTCTCTGCTTAGCACATCAATGAAAGCAACTGGAATAAAACTGGTATCAGAGTAACTGCCTTGCATTCCCAGAAAGCTGTTTTGTCTTAATATTGTTATTGCTATTTTTAGCTGCTTGTGAGGACAAGCTCAGTGCTTAACCCACATGTCTTCAGTAGTGGGCATTATGCCCTGGCTTTGCAAGCAGCCTGTTAGGGACATTGCTGGGGTTAGAGTAAAAAGCAAAGCAGACCCTTACTTGCAGCTTAAGTTGATGATCAGCCACAGCCTGCTTCTCTGCAAGTCTTTTGTCAGTTACAGTTACTTTCCTTGGATTCTTATGCTATATAAAAACTGGCATCTTAACATAGGTCAGACTAGGAAATCTTGGCTAAGAAAAAGGTAGAGAAGACATACTCGCAGGTCTTATCTGAGTTCATGTGTACTCTGTCTCAGGAACCTTGCACTTGGCCTTCGGTATAAGAGCAGGAATGAGTGGTTACTGTTTTCAGATGAGAGACAGGCTGGGTGTCACCATGCCTCTGAAGGAGATCACTCCCCTCCCCCAGTTTATGATAAATCCCAAGGCTTTTTCATGTCAGCAGTGGTTTATTGGCTGCATACATATCATCTGCTGTGAGAAAAGATGATTTAACCTGTACCTGAAAAGAACAGATGGGATGTAGAGAGTGATGGGAAGAACTCATACAAATGTAGCAAAAGAAGAAAAAAAAAATCAATGCTGAAATCTTACTCACACTTAAATTCTCACTGAGTATATTTATTCTGCCTGAAATGAAAACTTCTTTATATTCTGAGTGCATTTATCAGCTGTACCTTTCCAATCACCCCCCAACCCTAGTTCTCCTTGCACAAACTGTGTGTGACATCTTCAAGGATTAGAGAATTCAAAATTTCAAGTGGAATTCATTGGGAGAGGGAAGAAAAAGAAAAAGTGTTTCATTGTTTTAAACTCGAGAAAAAAAACCCATTCATTTAGTTATTATGTCCTTGTATTCTGTATACTATGTTCCCAGAAAAGAAAAACTCCTAGAGAGAAATGTGTGCTTTATTTCCTGTGCCCCCTTCAAATGCCAGTTCCCTCACCTTTCTGTGTTATCACCATTTAATTAATATCATTCCTGCTGAGGGAGGCTTCCAAGACTTGCATCCTATAAATAGGACCCTGGCTCCTCAGAACACATTGATCATTCCTGCGGGTCTCTCGCTACGGCTACGTGCCAACATTAAACACTGTTTGCATTTTCTCCAGAT